TATTCTCCTACAGATTACTTTATTTAATTCATTTTTAAATTGCCTCAAAAAATGAACTATTTAGAAATAAATCTAATAGTAACAAAAATTAAAAACAAATTGAGCACTCATTGTGGTTGTGTACACCTATAATCCCAGCATTTGGGGAGGCTGAGATAGGAGTACTGCAAGTTTGAGGCCAGCTTGGACTACAAAATGAGTTCAAGGCCAACCTGAACTACATAACTATCTCAAAAAAGCCCAATCAGCTGGGCGTGGTGACTCATGCCTGTAATCCCAGCACTCAGAGGCTAGGCAGGAGGATCGCTGCAAGTTCGAGACCAGCCTTGGCTACAAAGTGAGCTCAAGGCTAGCCTGAACTGCAGAGAGAGAGATGCTGTCTCAAGAAGACAAAAAGACAAAAAAAAAAAAGCAAACTGGGCACAGTGGCACACACCTATATTCCCAACACCAGGTAGATGAGACAGGAAAATCGTAAGTTCAAGCCCAGCCCAGGCAACTTACTAAAAAAGCCTTTTTCTCAAAAGAAAAACATTAAAAGGGCAGGAGACATACCTCAGTGGGTTCAATACTCAGCACCACAAGCAAGGAAGCAAGCAAACAAACAAATAAATGCAAGACTTAATACAACATAATATTTGAGACACTCAAGACATAAACAGCGTCACATACAGCTTAACATCAAAACCTGCAATGAATCAACAGTAATCAAACATTATGTTACAGTCATACAGATTAGCAATAATAAACTTAAACCAAAAACCCTTATATGTATGGTCAATTAATTTTTTTTTGACAGGACTGACACAACAGCAGGCAAAAACACTGGCACTGGGAAACTGGCATCTACCTATATGCAAAAAACTGAAGTTGGATCCCTACCTCACATCCTATACAAAAATTAACTCAAAATGGATCAGATTTGTGTGTATGCACTAAAACTATGAAATTCTTAGAAGCAAATCTGTTCCCATCATCGGCAATGGTTTATCAAATATACTAAAAGTGTAAGCCAAAGGACCTGGGATGTTACTCAGTGGTAGAACACTGCCTAGCAAACATGCAGCCCCGTGTTAAATTTCAGGTTGGGAGTGGGAGACCACAAGTAAGAAAAGAATTGGTTGACTTCATCAACATTAAAAACTTTTAGCCAAGTGCAGTATACACCTGTAAATTAGGAAGTGTATGCAGCAGGGTCACAAGTTCAAGCAGGAAGAACTTATGTGAGACCCTGTCTCAAAAAATAAAAGGGGGCTATGGAAATAATTCAATAGTGGAACACTTGCCTAGTGTTTGAGAGGCCCTGATTTCAATTCCCTGCATCACACACATAAAACTGGGATGTGGGGAGGATATATCCAAGAGACAATTCTCCAATAAGGTATATAAATGATCAAGAAGCAAATGGAAATATGTTCAACTTCATTAGCCATCATGAAATGCAAGTCAAAATCACAATGAAATACCACTTCCCACTCTCCAGAATGATTATAACAAAAAAGATGGGCAATAACTAAAATCAGTTGCTGGTAGGATAGGATTTAGAATGGTGCATTCTTTTCGAGAAAACAGTTCAACAAATCCTCAAAAAGTTAAACCCGTAGTTATCATCTACCCCAACAACTCCACTCCTAGATATTACCCAAGAAAATGAAAACACATACCCATACAAATCAGATACATGAATGTTCACCACAGAATTAATTCTAATAGTCAAAAAATGGCAAAAAGGGGCTGAGGATATAGGTTAGCAGCACAGTGCCTACCTGGCAGGTGAAGGTACCAAGTTAGACTCCTAGTAACCTTCCCACCAAATGACAAGTGGACATGGTGGCAAATATTACTAATTCCAGCATTCTAGGAGGACTAAAGCAGGATGATCACAAATTTGACCCCTGCCTGGGCACTTAGTGAGGCCTGTCTTTTAAAATAAAAAATAAAAAAGGGGTGGAGATATACCTCAATTTAAGGTACTAGGCTCAGTTGCCATGACCAAACAAAAAAGAAACTAACAACTTAAATGTTCCATCAACTATGAATTCACAAACAATGAGTATCCCATCAAGTGAAATGAAGTATTAACATACATCACAATTTGGATGAACTTTGAAAGCATTATGGTAAGTAAAAGGAATCAGACAAAAAAAAAGGTCATATATTGTAATGATCCCATTTAGATGAAATGAACAGAAAGGACAAATCTACACACACAGGAAGATTAGTGGTTACCAGGGGCTCATGGAAGAGAATGAGTGACTGCTAGTGAATACAAATTTTTCTTTTTGACATGAAAATGTTCTCATATTCGATAATAGTAATTGCACAACTCTGTGGGTACACTAAAAATTATTAAACTGTACACCTTTAAAGGGTACAAATGAATTATGTACATTCAAATATGTGTGAATTCTATCTAAAGAAAACTTACTAAAAGCTGTATAGTTTAAGATTTGTAGAGTTTCATATATGTCAACTTTACCTTAAAATTTTAAATAATGGCATGGGGAATAGGTAAGGTATAGATGAAACAAGGATACACTTAAGTTCATTATACTATTCTGGTACACTATGTATATGTTTGACATTTTCCTTAAGTTTTACTTTTAAGTATAAATATAATTTTTAAATAATTTTTTAAAAAGTAAACTTAACATTCCTAACATCCATCATCTTGTTTTCTGACACAAGAGCAGACTCTTACATCTTATTCTTTTTCGGGGTTATATGAAAACAGAAACAACTGAAGACATGCTATGCAGCAAAAATGAAGAATATTTGGTGTTAAAGTGGACAAAGTAAATATGAACTTCCTCAGTTCTGTGAATAATAGATGTGACAACTTCTAACACACACATGAATGCAAGAATACAGCGCTGTCCAATACAATTAACTCCAACTATAAGCACATAAATTTGGGTTTTAATGAATTGAATTGTAAGTTCAGTCCTTGGTCTAATTATCTATCTACACATGGCTACTGATTTACTGGATGAAGTAGAACTAGATACCTATCATCATTGCATAAAGTTCTATTGGACAGTACTGTTTCAATACATAAGAAACATTCACAAAGAAATTCGCAAACCTAGAGATGCTATGCAACTCTTCAGAGGCAAATTTTCCTGTGTGCTAAAACAAATTATTACTGCATTTTCAAGTACCCTCAAATCAGATGTAAAGATCATGCTGAAATATGAATAAGGCAAATTAGTTTTACAAAGATCTAAAGGAAAGGTCTATTTATAACCCATGACATTTAAGAATTAATGACACAGTAGAATATACAGAACAAAATTCTTTTCTGAATAAAGCTTTAAGACAACATACATAACTTAAAAGTTATTCTATCTGTTTCATCTAAGGGAAAAAAGTTTAATTAGATTATTTCTAAACATGTAGTGAAAATTCCATATATACTTAATTCTGGTAGACATAAACCCGTTAATGACCATTAACATAAATATGCAGTATCAGGAAACAGGTGCATTCTTAATTCAAATATTTTGGACATTTTTAGCACTTTAGAAAAAAAAAGTGAGCAAATTCTAAACTGAGTTCAAATATATTTTTACATTTAGAACCCAAAAACAACCACAAAAAAGTTTCACCTTGCCTCTCAAGCTTTTATATCAAATACTTGGACGTGAAACATCATCAAAAGCAACAAGAATGCTTTATAGTAAGAAATTTAAAACCAACTCTTTCCTTGCCTAAAACTAAAAGCTCCATTTAAATAATTTCTGAAAAAACTACTTAAAAATTTTAAGTACATTTTGTCTACAGTAAATATTTCTAAAATTCACAGCCCACACTCAAAAGGAATTCTAAAGAGAAGACTTAAAACATTGAAATTGAAACCAGTCTGTAGTCAGGGTACTACACAGGAGGGTCACAAGGAATCGATGGAGAAAGTTATTACTACTAGGTATCTGGAGTCAAATTAAATCAGCCACTATTTACATATTTCTAACTCTGTATACCTCGCATGGTGCTTTCCCGTATGTTACACACAGGGTACTTAAACTTTCATATTCGAATTTGTATTAGATGAGTTCTACCGTTATCCACAGTTAAATTCTTTAAAAAATAAAGTAATATTCCATTACCGTTTTCTCATTGTTCACAAACCCTCACTGTTCACCAAATCACCCCGATAAATCCATCTGTTCCTGCTACTTGCTTCCAAAGACAAATTCTAACAACCGAGAACACCAGATTGTAAAACAGTTAAGTATTCTGGCGCAACCCAACTATGTTAAGAAATCTGGGCAAATTTATTTAAAATCCCTTAAACGTTAATTATTTCAGTTGAAAAAACGAATGCAATACAAATCTACATTCCGCAGGAATGAATTAGATCTGCTAAACTGAAAAAAATGCCTCAGATTTTCGATGCACTCCAAATATAATGTACCTCTCTCCCATCTCATTTTCCCTCTCACCTCTTCCCTTTAAGCTTTCAGGACAGGTTCCAGGCCCCACTTCAGTGTTCCCTCATCCTCATTGGGCCCCTCCAACAGTCCCCCTTCACTTCAATTCCACACAATTCTATCGCCCTCAGGTTCCAAGCTGTACTTCCCTTAGCGCCCCCTTAGGTCCCAGGCAGCCCCACTATTTGGCTCCCCAAATCTAGTTCGGCCCCCATTTCCTAACGGCTCCTCCCTCCGTTCCCCCACCCACTCGTCACCAGGTTCATCCTGCCCCTCCAACCGTCTCCCGCCCCCAGGCTCCTTCCTGCCCTCCAAACACAGCTTCCCTGTCTCAACGATGCATCTTGTTCCTCCAACAGACTACACTATAAACCCTGCTCGTTTCTTTAGTCCCGATTTTCTCCAGCATTCAACTACTTTCAATCCATTCCTTTCAACATACACACACACGGGAGCCCCCACCCCCAACCTCAATCCTCCATCTTTCCCTTTTATATTTGCTTCCTTTCTTTCTCCACCCTCCACCCCCACCTTCTCCGGAAGAGCCGTTCCCAGGCCAAGGTCTCTCACCTCATTCGGTCACTTCAGTGGTGCCAACCGCTTCATACAGGAAAAAAAATAACCAATCACGTCCCTGTGGGCGCTTCCCCTGCGACTCCGAGCACTTACTGGGCACCCGCCCCACCGGGAACCCCGCACATACGCACGCACAAGCCGAGGTCCTTGGGGACGAGGGTTAGGGGGTAGAGTGAGCGTTCTTACACCAGCCTCAAACACTGCCCACTTCGCTACAGCCCTTCGCCATTTTGGTTTCCCGCGGACTGCCGGTGCATTCTGGGAGCGCGGAACGACTCCACGGCCGAATGGCAGCTCTCCAGGGCCGCGGGGAGGCGGGGACTGCCGGCGAGCGCGGAGGAACACCGCGTCCTGCGTCTCCGGCCTGGACTGAACAAAGAAGGACTCTTTAACATTGCGGTGTGACTAAGTCCTTCCGCTGCCGGTGCTAACACAATAGTGAGCGCGGCGCTGCGGGATGTTTCCTGTGGTACGCTGTTTCTATTATTAAAGGAGATGCGGTGGCCGACTTTGTGTGCATGTTTTGTTCGCTAAGAAATGAGACAGCGCTCTGTACATATTCCTGGGCGGATTTCCTTGTGGAGAAATCTTGGCTAAAGCGTAATTTCTTATTCCTTTATCTTGAGGCCTGCTGTTAAAACTCTTAAGCGGGTAGACCCAGGCTGCCAAAATAAATTTTGTTCAGGCAATGCCTCCCAAACTCACTCGTTATCAGGATCAGCTTTGTATGGAAGGTTTTCATCACCATAGACGCACACAGTGAAAGATGTTTTTTTACGTTTACCTGATTCCAGTCTTTCCTAATGATAATGAAACCGGAGAATCAGGTGTGAAGTTTTTTGTTTTTTTTTTTTTTTTCTTTGTTAATACAGAACTTTCATAGGAAGGCAAACCCTTAGCCTGCTACCGACAGGGATTCTAACTGACAAACTGAGAGGGCATGCTTGTCTCTTTGGTTTACTTTTGAGTACATGTAGTCTTCTCCATAAAGTGTAATACCTTTGTAAGTCTGTCAGAACATTTTAAATTTTTGTCCCATATTGTTCCCACGGGGATAATGAATAGAATGGAGAGGTTTTCTTTATGAAAAAGTACCTTTTGGGACCAATGCTACTTTTGCCCATATTTCATATTCTCCATAATCTGTAGTCTCAGAATTCAGCAAATAAGCATATTTTTTGTCCGGTATCATTCAATATACCTGTACCAGTCAACATTTGAAATGCCTTAGTAATACCTTTCCACTCTGCTTTTCCTGAATAATGGTACTAATCATTTAAATCTGCCTTCTTACTTTAGCCTCACCATATTTGTGGCCTTTCAAAGCTTACTTCAACTCTAGAGATTGAAGTCATGACCTCGCGCTTGCTAGGCAGGAACTTAGGCCGCTGAGCTAAATCCCGTCTATAGTTTGTTTTTTTGTTTGTTTGTTTTGTTTTTTGTTTTTTTGTTTTGTTTTGTTTTTTGTTTTTTGTCGTTTTGAGACAGGGTCTCGCTATGCAGTTCAGGCTGGCCTTGAGCTCGCTTTGTAGCCCACGCTGGTCTCGAACTTGCAGTGATCTCCTGCCTCAGCCTCCCGAGTGCTGGGATTACAGGCATGAGCCACCACACCCAGCTATAGGTCTATAGTTTCATAATGAATTTATCTTTAATACCCTTCCTTCATCGATGGAGGAAAAATTTCAATTAAAAAAAGACATACAGGGGCTGGGGATTTCGCTCAGCGGCATAAGCGCCTGCCTTGCAAGCAGGCAGTCATGAGTTCGATCCCCAGTACCGATAAAAAGGAAAAAGACAAAAAAAATTTAAAAACAAATTTAAAAAAAAAACATACAGGGCTGGGGATTTAGCTCAGTGGCTTAAGCGCCTGCCTGGCAAGCATGAGGTCATGAGTTCGATCAAAAAAGACATACAAAAACAAAAAAGGACATACAATGCAGAACTGAATAAATCGGTATCTTTGCTTTCTAAATATGCCTCATCATAGAACCTCCCTATAAGAGTACATTTGGTCTACACAGGCCAATGTGTGTCAAGTGATCAAGTGATTTGTGTCAAGTGATCAAGGCTCAGCTTCAACATGTTCGATGATTTCAGTAGGTCAGAGGCAGTCATTTTAATCTCAAAAACACTAACACATCCATTTCTCTAGGGTGTCTTCCAAGCCTTTAGTGAATACCTGAAGCCTCCTATAGTACTGAACCCTATCTATAGTATTTTTTTCTGTAGGTACATAACTGATAAAGTTTATTTATTGAGCCCAGTAAGAGATTAATAACTAATCATCAAAATAAAATCATTATAAAAACGTATTATAATAATGAATTTGGTCTCCTTCCCTTTTCTTCCCTCCTTGCCTATCCGTTCTCAAAATATTTTCGTGTAGACCTTAACAGTCTCAGCTTTTATTTCTTTCCTTATTAAATTGAAAGCATTCACTTTTTCACTGGAAGCACTTCACGGCTCCTTTTTGTTTTATCCAAATTGCAGTCATCACCACACTTGCACCTTGGAGCCATTATACAACAGCATGACTACCAATCTGATGACTGTAACACTAAGTGACTAACAAGCAAGTAGTGTATACACTGCAGACCTGCTGCATAATGGCTTGACTCAGGTCTCATATAGGACAGAGCAGGACATGAGATTTCATAATGCTACTAAAGATGGTATGCAATTTAAAAATTATGAACTGTTTATTTCTGGAATTTTTCATTTAATATTTTCAGATCATGGTTCAATATAGGTAATTGAAATATCAGAAAGCCAAACTGAAGATAAGGGTAGATCACCATAATTAGATAATTCTTCCATATATATATATATATATATATACACCTTCCTATAATTTTCACTTATTGGCTTTAATCATAAAAATGCCTTCACAAATTCAGTCAATTATACTATCTAAAAAGTGTGCCCTTATTGTTATCTATTTCTGTGATCATTAATATCATTAAAAATATTCTATTTTTCCCCATCTAGACATATAATGAAAGTATACTCTTGTACCCTCGAAATTAAACATGGTCATGTGACTTACTTTAAACCCACAAAATGGGGAAAGAAGTGATATAAATCACTTCCTAGGAGAATCTTCAAGAAGTAGAGACACATCTCTTTATCCACTGCTCTAGTGTTCTTTGGAAGCTTCTGCTGAGATTATCTGTCACTTTAGGTCCCTAAATGAGTATTATAAACAAAGACTAGTGTTATTTGACCATTAACACAATCGTCTTTGAGAATATTTCCATCATCCCATCCCCAAATCCACTATAACTATTTGCTCCTACTCTGCTATTTGTTTCTATAGTTTTGCCTTTTCTGACAATTTTATATAAATGAACTTATACATTGTGTAGTCTTTGAATCTAGGTTCTTTTACTCATCATATTTTAAGGTCTTTTCATGTTGTACCAGTCAGTAATTCCTTTCTTCTGATTGTTGATGACAGCTCCATATATGAATGTACCACATCTTATTCATCGATCTGGTGGATGAAATTTGAAGTATTTCCATTTTTTAGCTATTAAGAAGAAGTCTAGGTGGGGCTGGGGATTTAGCTCAGCGGCATAACTGCCTGCCTTGCAAGCAGGCAGTCGTGGGTTCGATCCCCAGTACCAATAAAAAGGAAAAAGACAAAAAAAAGAAGAAATCTAGGGTGGGGGATTTAGCTCTGCAGCATAAGCACCTGCCCGGCAAGTGCAAGGTCATGAGAGAAAAAAAAAGAGTAAGTTGTTTTTGGTCTTTTTCCTTTTTTATCGGTACCGGGGATCGAACTCATGACTGCCTGCTTGCAAAGCAGGCGCTTATGCCGCAGAGCTAAATCCCTAGCCCCAAGAGTAAGTTTGTATGAACATTTATGTACAAGTCTTTGTGTAAACATTTGTTTATGTCTTAAGTATGTTTCTAGGAGTAGAATAGCTGAGTTTCATGGTAAGTTTATATTTATATTTTTAACAGTTGTTCCAAAGTCTGAGCAATGTGTTAAAGGTCCAATTTTTCCACATCACTGCCATTAGTTGTTATTTTCTTTTTCTGATACTATTCATTGTAGTAGGAGTAAATTGGTTTCTCACTGTGGTTTCAGTTTGCATTTCCCTAATGGCTGATGATGTGAATCTTTTCATGTGCTTGTTAGCTATTCATATATCTTGTTTGGTGAAGTATCTATTAAAATATTTTATTTATGTTGTTTTGTCATTATTGTTTTGTCTTGTTACATAGTCAAGGTCTGGCATCGACCTGCTTTATTTTGTTTTGTTTTTTGGTACCAGAGATTGAACTCATGACTGTGCACTTGCAAGGCAGGCGCTTACGCAGCTGAGTTAAATCCTTAGCCCTAGCCTCAACCTCTTAAATGCTAGAATTAACAGGTATATTCCACATCAGCTCTTTTTGCCCATTTTTTGACTGATATTCACCTATTTTTATTAAGCTTTCTTCTAGAAATTTTTTAGGTTTTAACTGCTACATTTGATCCAGGTTTGAGTTAATTTTTGTATATAGAAGATAGGGATTTATAGTCATCTTTTAGCATGCAAATATTCAATTGGAAAAATAAACTATTATTGTATTAGGCCATTATAATATGGAGTTGTCTACCTGCAGTATTTTTTTTTTTTTTTTGTATTTTGACTGGTGCCGTCTAGGTATAATAATATGTAACAGAACTCAGTGATAACGTTGAACTACCATAAACAGAATATTTAAATTATTAGGTAATTTTCAAATTTTGCTATTGAAATGTCGTGACAAATGTTATAAATTCTGTGTTTAAAACAGGCAAGCTTCCAATTATTACTGTTACTCTTTTGTAGAAAAGTGGTAGAAGGTTTAACATTTTTCACTGTGTATAAATAGAAATGCAGCGAGGTCGTGAGTTCAATACCCACTACCAAAAATAAATAAATAAATATTAGCAATGCAAATAATCGGATAAGTTAGAGAGGTCAAAGATATTTTGTGTCCCTATTAAGTCTGTTTTCAGATGTCTGAAAGGGATATCTGAAACATTTAATGAAAAAATAATGAAATGAAAAAGATTACAAGTATTCATATATGACATGAACTCTGCTTCTAACCCCACTAATTTGTTGTAAAAAATTTTTGTAGAAAATTTAAACTTGGGGCTGGGGATTTAGCTCAGCGGCATAAGCACCTGCCTTGCAAGCAGGCGGTCGTGAGTTCGATCCCTGGTACCGGTAAAAATGAAAAAGACAAAAAAAAAAAAAAAACAAAAAAAAACAAAGAAAATTTAAAC